CCCCCCCATTACAGAAATCTAGCAATTTTTAACTTGTTCTTTTCCTATTTAACTTCTGAACCTATTTCCACTAGCATTCACTATCCTAGGCATCCAATCGCTACCAACTTTCTTGGTGAAGGCTGAAACAAAGAAATTGTTAAGTAATTCTGCCATTTCCACATCTTCCGTTTGGCTACGTCTACACTGCAAGGTTTTTGCACAAAAATGGCCATTTTCACGCAAAAACCTGTGGCGCGTCCACACCTCAAATATGCTTTTGCACAAGTAAATCAGCAGTAAAACAGCAGAATGGAGGGCTTTTGCCAGTGTAGGTAAACCTCCTATGAGGCATAACTCTTGTGTTATAGCTATTGCACAAAAAAGCAACTGGAGAAAAGCACAGGTGCTCTGATGGCCATTCTGCGAATGGCCATCAGAGCATCCATGCAGTGTGGATGCTCTCTTGTGCAAAAGCACATCACTTTTGCGATGCGCTTTGAGGCATGGACGTTCTCTTGCACAAGAAGTTTCTATGCAAAAACACTTGCGTAAAAGGCTTCTTGCGCAAGAAGCCTGCAGTATAGACATAGCCTTATTGTTTCCCCCTTCATTGAGCAATGGGCCTATCCTGTCCTTGGTCTTCTTGCTTGTATTTGTAGAATATTTTCTTGTTACCTTTTATGTCTCTAGCTAGATTGAGCTCATTTTGTGCCTTCATCTTTCTAATCTTGCCCATCTTTTGTTATTTGCTTATTTTCATCCTTTGTAATTTGACCTAGTTTCCACTTTTTATGGTCTGAAGTAAATAGGATGAAGTTTAATAAGGACAAATGCGAAGTACTCCACTTAGGAAGGAACAATCAGTTGCCACACAGAATGGGAAGTGACTGTATAGGAACGAGCACTGCAGAAAGATCTAAGGGTCTAAGTGGACCACAAGCTAAATGTGAGTCAGTGTGACGCTGCTGCAAACAAAGCAAGTATGATTCTGGGATGCATTAACAGTAGTGTTGTGAGAAAGACACGAGAAGTAATTTTTCTGCTCTACTCTGTGTTAATTAGGCCTCAACTGGAGTATTGTGTCCAGTTCTGGGCACCATTTCAAGAAATGTGGTGAAATTGGAGAATATCCAGAGAAGACCAAAAAAATTATTAAAGGTCCAGAAAATATGACCTACAAGGGAAGTCGGAAAAAAATGACTTTGTTTAGTCTGGAAAAGGGAAGACAGAGGGACAGGATAACAGTGGAAAAGGGAAGACAGAGGGACAGGATAGCAGTTTATGTACCTAAAAGGGTGTTACAAGGAGGAAGGAGAAAAATTGTTCTCCTTGATCTCTGCTTTGTGTCTTATTATCTAAGTTGCAGCAAAAGAGGTTTAAGTTGGACATTATGAAAAGGTTCCTAACAGTCAGGTTGGTTAAACACTGGACTAAGTTGCCTAGGGAGGTTGTGGAATCTCCATCATTGGAGATATTCAGGAGCAGGTTTGAAAGCTCTATCAGGGATGATTTAGATGGTGCTTTGTCCTGCCATGACGGCAGGGGACTTGACTTGATGACCTCTTGAAGTCCCTTTCAGTTCTAAGATTTATTAGCATCAGTCACAAAATACATTAGACTCTGGAGGTGCCACAAGACTTCTAGTTGTCTTTGAGACTGAATATCTTAACTTGAGAGCTTTGCCACAAGACTTCTAGTTGTCTTTGAGACTAAGCTCTCAAGTTAAGATATTCAATGTCCTTTCTTCTAAAAGGAGTATTTTTAATGGTATGGACCTCAGAATGTCAACATCCAGCCTTATTTGAGTGTTTAGTTTAACAGGTGGGCAGGGGTAAAATGACTATAATGTCAACTTCATTTTCAGTCCTGGACAACATGTTAGCTAGAGGAAGTTGAGTATTGAAGATCCCAGGTATTTTAAGATTAGTGTTCAACAGCTTACTGAGTATTTTGCTATAATTTGGAGCCAAATTCTGCCTCCAATCCATTGAAGACTGTGGAAAGCACATTTACTTCAATGGAAGCAGAAAATAGTCCTTAAACTTTTAAGTGAAAAGTTTCCCTCCCCCGTGCCTTTTAAAACAAAACAAACAAAACAGAACTATTGCATGGATGCTCATGACTAATTTTACGTATCTAAAGTCATCTGTTGAAGTATAAATATTTGAAGTAAATAATTTAAGGGTTTGTTTTCCAATGGAGTTTTCTGTATTGTTTTAATCATGTAGTAAAATAAAGCACTTTAAAAAAAGATTATTTATTTATTTAACACACCATACTAGCACATTTGAAAGCTAGTGGTTTAAAATCCCGAGGGGGGGAAAAAAAAATCTCAAAATGTTAGATGTATTTACACAAAAGTAACCGAATGGGGAAAAAACTTGCACTCTCCACTTGGAGGAGATGGGGGGGGGTACCCATGTTTGCTTGGGATTTTCTTACATCTCAAGGAAATGTAACCTTTCAGTCTTTCCATTCTTCATTCTCTGACTCAGTCTCCTCACCTGCAAAAATCAGTTGTAGAATGTATTGCTGTCCCATACAAGGCAAGCAAGTTCTAAAAAACCTCTTATCAGCTTCATTAAGAGCACATCTACACAACAGGGCTAAAGTTGGAATAAGCTATTCAACTTAAGCTACACAATTGACATAGCTTATTTCAGCTTTTGGTGGTGTTTGGACTTCAGCTATCAACACAGGAAGTTGAAGGAAGAACACTCCGATTTACCTTAATCCAACTCATGGTAACCCTCATTTTACGAGGAGTAAGAAGTCATCCAGCTTGACATTTTGAAATAAAGGCTTGGAGTGTAGACACACACGATGTGTGTGTAGACACACACTTAAGAGTGCTTGATGATTAGCTTGCGGACAATACAAGACAGGCATATTTTTCCCCATAGCTCTCTCAACTCAAATTAGAGTTTATACCTCCTCATTTAGTAACTACTTATAAAACTTAGTGATTTGAGTGATGTAGGGCCTTTAGGACTTTAAGGGTTTCAAGTTTATCTCCAGAAGATTCTTCCTGCAAGTCAGCCTGAAAGTCACATCAAAGAGTGGCATTCCATAGAATTAAGGGAGTAAGCTATCACAGTATCAAGTTACCAATCCAAAAGGCAGGGAAGGAGGAGGGTAAGAAGACACAAATTGGGATACTAACTTAGGGTTCATCTACATTTCACCGTTATTTCAAGATAGTTATTTCTAAATAACCATGTGAACATCTGCACAGCCATTCCATTGTTTTGAAATAATTCTGAAATCCGTAAACCTTGTTCTATTAGGAATAACACTTATTCTGAAATATGGTGCATGTAGATGCTCCACTGCTGCTATTTTGAAATAGCCCCTCAGCAGGGCCATTCTAAGTTATTCCTCCCCTGTGCTTCCTGGGGCTCTAAAGCAAGATAGCACATCTATATTAGGGAACCCTGCCTTAGACTTCCCTGCAGTGTAGACATGCTATTTCTAAATAAGCATGCAGTGTAAATATACCCTTAGGCTGTGTCCAGACTGCATCCCTTTTCCAGAAAAGGGAAGCAAATTAAACACATCGCAATTGCAATTGAAGCAGGGATTTAAATCCTCCTGCTTCATTTGCATAAAAATGGCTGCCGCTTTTTTCCAGCTCGGAGCTTTGCCAGAAAAATGCGCCAGTCTAGACGCGGATCTTTCGGAAAATAAAATAAGGAATAAGATCTTTCAGAAAAGGCTTTATTTTCCGAAAGATCCGCATCTAGACTGGCGCTTTTTTACGGCAAAGCTCAGAGCTGGAAAAAAGTGGCAGCCATTTTTATGCAAATGAAGCAGGGGGATTTAAATCCCCGCTTCATTTGCAATTGCGATGTGTCTAATTTGCTTCCCTTTTCTGGAAAAGAGATGCAGTCTAGACACAGCCTTAGAGGCCTTTCTACAAAGAGTCTATTTTCAGGTCAAAAGCAGTAGCTCAATTTGTTTTGAATCCGAAAAGGCACATGCATGTTTCCCTTCTATAAATCAGACTAATACTTGCAACATTGCTGCATTCCCAAAAATTAAAAAAAAAAAAAAATACTGAGATTAAGGACTTAATCTCTCCTCCTACCTACCAATCTGCACAGCCCCATTATTATATGAAGGGCAAATGCAGGGGAAAAATTATCAGTATGGGAGATTTGAAAAAAATTCTAAACTGTTATGATAAAGTTGTGATTACTGCATAGATGTAAGATAGGCTGCGGGTGGCGGGGGAGAACAATATTTAACTAGTTCTAACTTTTGGGTATAAATAAGTAGAACAATTAAACCTGAATACAAGTGTGATTGCAGGCATTATACTAGATGGTCCAAATAGCCTACCAACCCCTTCCCCCTCCAGGAGCAGCTGGGGTGAAAGATAGTAATTGGGGTAAATTCATTAGTAACTTTGCTGCTGCTACTACAACATTCTCAGCCTGGCTAGGGCAACCAGGAGTTTTGGTTTACAGTGATGAGCAAGTCCTAAAGAGACTCAGCTATCATTAAGCAAGCTACCTATATAGTCTTAAAACAGAAATATTAATCTGGTACAGATAATTAATTGCTTTTCTGTTGCACCCCTTTTTCCTTTGCCTGTACTTGGTTGATAGTTTGTTTTGACCACTTTCCTTATAAACACGCAAGCTATCATCATCTCTCAGTGTCATTCCAGCAATAAGTAATTCAGAGCGAAGTCTAAGGTATTTTTGCATTTACTCCAGTTTTACTCACCAGTTCATGAAGTTTCCTCTGTAAGAGATACTAGACTAAGATTTTAAGCTTTGTATTAAATTCTAGTCTACAAGTAATGGTCCAAATCCATGCTCACCTCTCAGAGATCCAGAATAAATTGAGACGAACTTTTCTAGAACCAAGCTGAAAGGGTTTTAAACAAGTTTGGCTGAGCACACTGGTGGTTCATTCAATTATACCAATAAATGTTGGTAAAGTTCCCTAATTTAACAAGAGATGCATAAAACAAGCTTTCTAAGCAAAGAGAAAATATTTTATAAGCATACCTGAAGAGTAAAGGTCCTTATGTCTCTTCTGAATAACATCCCTAAGAGCAGCTACTATTCCTCCGTCACTGGGTGACTGCGGTGATGTTGGAGTCACCTGTTTAAATAGATTAACAGGAGTGATCATTTTGATTTGTATAACGAAGCTCTTACTGTAGTGATGGAACTACCATGATCAGAAATACGAAGTTACTAGTTACAAAGTGGGGCAAGAATGTATTTACTGAAGATTCAATATGTTTTCAGGATGAACTAGTTCGCCAAAAGGAATTAAATCTGTTTAGTTCAACTCTGCATTAACTTTGGAGAGTGTTACAGCTAGAAACCAGGTACCATATTTCAAGCCAGTCTGGTATTAGCCAATAACTTATTCCCTTCTTTGGCTATTTCAGGTCAATAGTGGAAGAACTAGTTCTGCCTCGCTACTCCATGATTTCAGTACAGCTTCAGATATATGCATTTAGAAGGCCACCTAGAAGGACTGAATATATTCCGAATAGCCACACAAGGGCAGAAGGAAGGAAACTAAGTTTAGGTGGAGTGTTTGGAGCAGCTGCAGCTCTTCAAGAGATAATAGTTTGTTTGATGCTCCAAGCCACATGTTCACTATTTTGAATATCTGTCTACAAAATTAAGTAGTGTTTCTCCTCCCAGGAGTTTCCTGCTCTACAAAAAGCTTTGTAATATAGGGAGGAGGGATAGCTTCACTGTAAATGCAGATATGCCAAGCCTGTTTATCTTATCACAGCATAGGCAGTGAGAAAATGACTTAAGTCTTTGACTCTTGCCTTAGAACACGGACTTCAGTTACAATCCATCAGCCATTCATCAACCTGATCTGCAGTCCTGTGCTATAAATGGACACTGGACGAAGAACATAGACACTCTGGTAAGAGACAGAATTCCAGGTTAGGACCTGGCAAGGCTGCACTTTCCATCCACAACACCATGTGGTGCTCACTCCTGTCTCCCTTTTACAGACAGTCTTTGTTACTGTCCTTGAAGGAGACCAGAGAAGCTTTGAAACAGAAGCCACTGCAACTCCTGGCTTTTGTTGTCTTGTCTGACCCAGTGCAATAGGTGCTACTAACAGTTATCATGAAAGAGGTTAGTGTTACGAGGCAGTGTCTACACAGACATGAACAAATCTTTATGCTAAGGACTATTTGAATGAGCTTCCCAATTAGATAAGCAAGCTTCTGCCAAAGATACCTCACAGGAGTATATAAATAAACTAGCATTGAGGTTTATGGCTATTAGACTATAACTTACCTAGGAATTAACAATCTGTTATGATTTTTTCAGGGAAAGTTTTGCTTTAATATGAGGAAGTCATCTCCAGATGTGAGGTGGGAATACTCAAGTTGTTTTCAGAGCAAGTAATTATACTATGTGCATATGTTTACTTTAAACTATTAACAGAAAAAAAAACCTGGCCAAAAAATGATGCAAGTATGAGCATTTGGAATCCCTGTTTATTTAGTTTTACACTAAAAAAAACTCTGGGAAATTCGGAAGAGATGCTTTAAGTAAAGCCTCAGTCAGTTCACAGGACCCAGCCCTGACCCTTTTCATGTTAGGGATGAAACTTCCTCAGCTATTACAGATAAGACTATTTGTCCAAATTTAACTGCAGGATGGGAAAAAAAACACTTTACTCACTTGGGGGGATTTGAGCAGTAGGCTCATACTTTGCCCCTAAGAACTTGTATTTAGGACATACCTGAATCTGGTGCAGGCAATTCACAAGGGAACGCTGCAGAAAGCGGTAACAAGAGGGACGCAGATCTGCTTGCAGATAAATTATCGACCCTCCCGGTATTACAAAGCCTTTTCAATGGGAAGGAACAATTCCTCCCAGAAGGAAAGGCATTTATGAAAAGCCACCTAGTTTTGTAGACTGATTGGTCTACCACAGTGAAGAGCTTGGATCATCAGAGAAACCTTTTATCTCTGAAAAGGAGCTGCAGTTGCTCCAGGCACTCTAGCTAGAGTGAGTAGGTCAAGAACCAGCTTTTTTCCAAGGAAGCAGCTTTGATAGTTGCCAGCCACTAGGCTTAGTAGGATTTATTTGTATTTTTTTCTGCCACAAGGGAATCAAAACAAGCTTGTAGCTGCCAAGACATGTTTGCTATGTAACTGCTAGAGCATCAGAGCTCACTGGACACTACTCAGCAAGCATCAGCAGTAAAGTAAAAAAGGGCATCTCACACATGTTACCAATTTAGGTTTTGTTCCTACAACTGTGAGGTTACTTATTTCTTTCAAAGTCAAAACAGTCATAGTCTACAGTCGAGTTTAAAAACTGAAATACTGATGCATAAACACAACCCATCACAGATGCATGATGTTTAAATGCAAAAACCTACCCAAAGCCAATATATAATCAACAATCTTCTAGGATTAGGTGGCAATTGCCTTGGTGCAGAGTAGGGATGTAAGCCGCTAGTCAACTTCCAATTAAGCATATGCTTATCAGGTTAGTCAAGTAGTTACTCGATTAGTCACTCCTCCCCCGCTTCCCGCATGCTGGCCCTATCAGAGAGCGGCAGCTATGGGAGTAGCAGGAGCCCACGCTGGGGGAAGCCATCTTAAAAGCCAGCTCCCCCTCCCCCCCAGCATCTTGTCCATGGGGGTAGAAGCATAGCAGGGAAACAGTGTGAGCAGGGATTGAAGCAGTCCCCACTTGCGCCCATCTGACTGCTGGGCCTCTCCCTTTGAAATGTAGCAAGAGCCCCTGGGCTCCGGGTTCCCTGCACTGCCTACATTTCAAAGGGAGAGGCAGAACCCCAGGCGAGAGGGGACTGCTTGAGCCCCTGCTGTTCTTCTGCCTTTTAAATGTGGTAGTAAGAGCCGCCTGGTCTCACTACATTTACAAGGCAGAGGCACAGCAGAGAGAGCAAGCACCCCATCCCACCCCTTATCTACTGATTGAGTAGTCGATGGAAATTCCATTGGGGTTATCCATTTGTGGCCTCGAGGTATTTTGTTTACATTGACCATCCCCAGACACAGCCTTATGCAGCTTCCAGTGGCCGTGGGTCATCATTCCTGGCCACTAGGAGCTGTGGGAAGTGGTGGTCAGGATATCCCTGTGGCCCATCACTTCCTGCAGCTCCCATTGGCTGGGTTTGGCAAATCACAACTCTTAGGAGGATGATGGAGGGGGAGGAATGTGCCTTCAGGCATTCAGCTTGAGCAAACCCATTGCTGCTCGGTCACGTGTGGTCACGTGTGGTCCACAGGCTGGTGCAGTACGCAACACTTAAGGATGAATAGAATTATTGTATACTTCATCCCATATTCAGAGTTTCAATTTTGCACAGTTAATCCAAGAGTTACACGGCTCCTCCACTGCATTCCAGTACAGGTGGAAAGCTGAAGTATAGCACTCAAGCTCCATTGACCTTTGCCGATTCCGAAGGGCTTCCACCACAAAGGGAAGCAATCACAGCACTGGAAGGGGCCCTGGGAGCCCACACTTGCCCACTAGCATCCCTCCTGCTTTCAGGGGTTGTGGCAAGAGGGGACTTTGATCCCCCAACCAGCGCCTCACTCGAGTGGGATGGTCCTTCAGAAGTACAGCCCCAGCCTGGGGCTCCCATTTGCCCCTGGGGTTAGACAACACTCATGCCCTCAGAATGCTGTTACCTTGTGTCTACACCCGTGAGTTCCTGCCCTGGGTACTGGTCACAAGAAGACACCAGCATCAGCTTGGATGCCTCCACCCCACTCCATACTTACCTAAGAGTTCTGCCAACCCAAAACTGAAGTTATCCAGGAACAACCATCCCTATGATAAGTCTTGGCTGCTCTCTACCTCGGATACCTCAGGACTCCGGCCATACTGATCCTTTCAAACTGGCTTTCCTCTAGGCCTTATCCAGCTTCCTGGGTTGACTGTCCACTCAACCCTGTTGGCTAGAATGCCCAACCATACTATCCCCACAGCAGGGAACCAGTCAGTCAGAAGTCCACTAACCCAATTAGCCTCCCAGATCAATTGAAGCCCATAGCACATTCCCAGTTCATCCTAGATAGACAAGGATGTCTGGTTTGTCCTGACAAGCCCTTTGCTGGGAGATTCCCTTTCTTGTAAGCCCTGTGCACAATGCTGGGCTCCCATATCCCCAGCTATGGGCACTCACAGATACTTTCTACAGTAGAGACGAAGGGAGGGAAAGCAGACATTGTGAAAAGCCAGTCGTGATTATGGCCAGCGGCGGATTTAGGGCAAGGCAAGCGGGGCGGCTGCCCTGGGCCCTGCGCTTCCCGAGGCCCCGTCCTCCCCAGGTGGCCACTGAGCCCCATATGCCAGCAGTACTGACAGGACACAGGTTACCCTCAAGGCAGGGCAGAGCAAGAGCCAGCCCCAATTTGACCCATTTGTGATTGGTGCCATCTCTCCACTGCATGTTCAAGAGCTGGTCCCAAAGTCTCCTTTGGCACTAGGAAAATAACTTACTGACCCTGAAGAAATACTACAGCCTCACCTCCAGACCCAAGGAAGAACCTGAATTAATTGCATAAGGATCAGCAAGGTCACTGGTTTAACGCTGGCTTGTCCCCCAGCAGCCTAGGTTCAATCCTCCTGCATCCTAGGAGTCATGAATTCCCAGGAGAGGGTGTAGGTGACCTTCAGTAAGACCACCACAAATAGCCAGTTACCTGTGCAAGGCCATGAACCACCCAGATTAGGGACTTGCCTATCCCAGAAGCACCAGACAACCTTCAACGTCCATCCCAAAACTCAAATGCCACTGAGTAAGCTAAAAAGGTGGATGGTGCACACGCTCCTTTGGCTGTAGAGCCTGTTTTCAGCACCCAAGACTCAATGCTGCCCACCTCTTCTCTGGCACTTCCATGGCTTCCAGAGAACGAGAGACCATCAGCTACATGGCTGTTCAGCCCAGGCACATGCTTGACCGTGAAGTGAATGTTGCTGACAGATTTCGGGTCGGTAAATTATTAGCAGCGAGCTTCAAGAGCCTGTCTCGGGAGGTTTTTGCCAAAGGAATCCATGCAGACTGTCACTCCTTCTCCTTCCTGTGAAGGGCAGTCATGCTCCATGCTAGAAGGTAAATTGTCTTTCCCACAAGACTGTGGGTGAGACATGACAGCTGACAGTCAAATCCTTCCAGCAAGAG